GTGGGCCGAGAATAATAGCTGAAAAGTGGGCTGAGGATCTCAATTTTTACGGCGGCTCTTACCGTCTTCCGGCGCGAAGTGGTTAAAGTCCTATTTGCATTAGCCAAAGCATGGGCTTGCTTAAAATTGCATGACCAATATCCACCATAGGGTGCACAGCGTCTCCACACACAGAGAAATATGGCTTATAGATTCATCAGACTTCAGAGTCGCGCAGCCAGCAGTAGTCTGAGGCCTTCTGACTATGAATGAATTCGACAACCAAAGGCACTTGTTCAATTCACCTCTGCAGGCACCATCAGGCTATGGCACATGAAATTCAACTAGGTTATTAATGATTTTCGAGTCCATCAGAACTTTGCAGCCTACCTATCTCCCTCCATCTTCTCTGCGTCCTCCTTGCTTTCAGTCTTGACTTCGGCCTTCGGCTCTTCCTTTTCCTTGGGCGTGTCCGCCTCGGCAAGGAAGTCCGACACCATCTTCAGAGCCTTCTCACAGTTGGAGACCATCGCCTGAACTTGCTGGAGCTGTATAAAGACAAAGACAAAGCCTTTTGGTTTAATTGTTGCTGAGAACAAGTTACAGTAAGTTCACCCATTAGCATCTGTTCCACCTTAAACTACATTGCGTGCATTCACATAATTGATTACAAACGCAGAGCGCTTGAGTTGTCTTTTAACCCCTTCATGGCCGGATTATTTTGACCGCGACTGCTGGGCTGTGGTATGCCCTGAATGGGGGGCTTGGTCCAACAGCAGGCCCCATTGAACCAGCAGCTGCATGGTGAATAGACTGTATGTGTGGTATGCACTAATCCTCACACAAAAGTGCTGTAGTAGCAGTCCTCAGTAGCGAAGGGGTTCACAGTTTCGAATTAGCAAGGTAAGAAATGGGCAAACAACACACACATGGCTTTTATGAACAGACCGGTGCAGTTGACATCTGTATTAATTTTTGTTGCGATATCAAGCAGGGTGTTTCTTTAGTTCAGGTCTTTTGTTGACTGATTTTGATAAACAAGCACTACAAAAACACACCAGATGATTGGTCATGCATATTAACCATTCAGCGTTGTTGGCTTTATACACATGACCGGGATGCCCGAAATCCGACAAAAGGAACTGGGCCTTGTAGATCAGGCTCGGAACAAAAGACCGAGCTGCTGGGAATTGCTAAAAACTTTCTGCAATGAGTGCTGGCATTTTTGGAGGTAATCCGTCATTGTTTTGAAACAGTACACCGCTGTTTGCAGCATTCAGCATCCGTGGATTATCAGCGGGGACAAAAGTGCTCTAGCACTCCAGCGATGAGTAACACATTACCGCAGTATGCTAATCTGGCCACATTTGTAAAGACACCACTGCCATTCAGCAAAGGAAATTACGCAACACCGTACAACTCTGGACTCTCTATCCTGGGAGGCAGGCCTGGCTGCACTACCCCAGTGTCAATGGAAGTTGCCTGTCACATTAGAGTAGCCACCAGACAGTCATTCGTAAGGGTGTAAGTGTCCAGAAAATAAAGTTATGAATTTTTGAACAATTTTGAAAACGGAAAATCATGAAAAATTGCCCGGCAACTTGTCCCTCATGTGCAAACTCCACCTGGCAGGAAGCGGTTGAAGACCAATACTAAAAGTCTGAAAAACTGACAAGTGTAATTGCTTAGGCAAAATAATTATATTCTTATCAAGTCGGCGTTCATCCCACCTCAACCTCCGATGGATAAATAGCCGCATGCTTGGCCATAACATGCCGGTCAATCTCAGAATCCGGCCGCTTGGTGATGTCCATCTGTCCAGGCATCTTGGGAGGCACAGGCCGGGGATGGGGGATGCCACGGCGACGCTGCCACTCAAAGAACTCCATCTCCTCATCAAAGAGGCGGCGCTCCTCCCAGTAACGCTCCTCCTCTAGGCGTCGCCAGTACATGTCCTCCTCGTAGCGTCTAGGGATGCAAGGAGGGGTAGAAAGTAATAGATGAGAACGTAACAGTACTTTCATGCCTCCCACAATTTGTCATTCCAAAATTTTACCCTCTCACTGTCTGACAAGTCAGAGCACAACAGTTGGATGATTTTGACTAAAGGGGCAGCTTTGTCTAGAATCAGTGTTGTAGTCAAGACCTCATCTCCAGACGAACACTAGGCCTCTAGTTTCAACGCAAGTCGCAAATGATTAAAATGAACAACAAGTGCATTCCTTTGTCATCGTTCACCTGTTACTTCATGTCGGGTCTCATGAATGGTCCCTACAACACTGGATTCAAATGTAGGTTTATCAAAGGAGAGTTAACAGGAACCATACAAATCATTTCAAATATCTGAGGAATCATTTCTGACAGAGACTTTTCAATAAACAAATACTGTTAATCCATCACATGATGAAACTTTAGCGCATGTTTCAGAGGGCAGGGAGTAGCTTCACACTGCAAAGTGAGGATGCATATCTTGCTCTAATGTTATCAAGCTTTAGCCTGCTCTTCAACAACATCAAACAGTTTGTCATGTGCAGAGGCAACCCTTTTGTTCGGACATATTGAGACAACAATCGGAACACGTTGGATGTTCAACTCCGATTTTCACCTTGCCAAATCGTCTGAATTTTTATGACAAATTGATCATTATGCCTCACGGTATACTTCTCATGGAAGAGAAACTTGGCAAATTTCTTTTTTTTTTCCTGTTTTGGACTCCTCACCTGATCTCATCCTTCCATCGGTTTTCCTCCTCCCGGTGTCTCATGAACTCCTCCTTGGCAAACTGCCGCCTCATCTTCTCCTCCTGGGCCTTGCGGGTCCGCGAGGTAGGCTTCATGTCCACCGTGTAGCTGGGGTCCACTTTTTTCTGTGGTCCAAAAAACGAGCAGGGCGAGTGAAGATGACATTCTGGTGGCCGTGCCATTCCCAATGCACACCCGGCTGTGAGGGTTACTTCCTCATTTTTTAATGATATTTTCAGTGGGGAAGCTTCTCTGTTTGGACACATCATCCAAAATGATTTAACTTCAATCACTGGGAGCTGATAAATGATGCTGGCAATAATTTGACGCCGATAAAAGTTTGCAAGTTTTACAAATGAACATAAATATTGGAAATGTCACGCATTTGGAGCAACAACATCCAATTAGTGGGTTTTTAGTGGCAAATAATGGTTGCAGGAGGGACCCTATTTTGGCCATTAAAAATGAGGACAACTACAAAGATGACTTGTCACTGCTCCTATTCTTCAATACATGCATTCCACGTTCCTTGGGCAAATGCACTAAGCATACCTTATACTGCAGACGATGGCGACGTCCCTTCATGTGCATATCCTTGGCATTGGGGTCGTTGAATTTACACTCGCACAGCTTGCAGTTGAAGCTGAGCAGCTTGCCTTCGTCGTTCTTGATCTCCTCGATGTAATCCTCACCCACGGGGAGTATCTCCTTCTCCATCTCTGCCACTTCTTCCTTGACTGTGGGATGGGATGGCAGAATGGGGAGGTCGGGACGTGGCGATTTTAATAGGAGGAAACTTTATCTTCAAAAATGTTGATAAGAATCTTATAACTGATTTCTTTTTCAGGGTAAAGCAGTTCAAGAGTACACGGCTGAATTTCTAAATGACGGCGACAAGAAGACCACAAGGATTGGAAGTCAAATTTCATTCCGTGACTCATCAGCAAGTATATTATCTTTCACAAGACCACTGTGCAAATCATATTTCTAACTTGGGTTAACTTTAATCAGTACATTTGTTACGTCTGCATATTCATGCTAAGTTCTGGAATCAGCGATAAATCCTTGACCAGACAGTACTGAATTTTGAGGTGGTAAATCTCTGGACGAGCCATCCCAATTCTTAAAAATGACAGCATGCACAACAGAATGATTTCCCAAGGTACGTGGTGCCTTCAAAATCATGTGCATTCTCTTTGTGACTCCAGGCGACTAAAAACAAGGAAACAGGCCTACCCTCGGTAGTTGCCTCAGCAGTCTCTGCCGTGGTACCTGCAGCACTTGTATCTAACTTCGTGTCAGCCTTCTTGTCCGCCTCTGGGGTGGTGGATGTCAACTTAGTGCCCCCTGTGTAAGAGAGCAGCTCTTCAGTCTCTAGGATTTGGCATTTACCAGACACTCAACAAAAGATTGCACAAGGAGGTCTTCAAGAACTATGAAGTGTATTATCATTCCAACTCTGATTGGGTAGGGAGGGACAGACAGAAGCCAATTTTCCTTTTCTAAAGAGCACATGTAAAAAAACAGGGAATTGTATGAAGCAAGAAATGTTTCTAAACATCTAGTTTTCTGTGCTCCTAAACATCAATATTTTAGTAACTTTCAATGGAAATCCTATCTCAATGCTAATTCTAGGGAACATCAAGTCCCATGTTATGCAACAGTGACCCGATTTCACAATTCCAAACAAATCAATTTACATACAGTGAGAGTACACGTTAGCATTCATCACCCATCAAATTTTGACGATTTCAGGCCAAGTAATCTTGACATAGATAATGCCAAACTCACCGACAAACGTGATCTTGGGAGTCACCACCTTCTTGACCACCGGCTTGGCTTTAGCGGCTGCTGCGCCAGCCGTGGAGGTGGCCGCCGCTGCTGTCTTGTTCCCCGCTGACTGAGCAGTAGACGTTGCAGCCGTGTTGACCTTGATGGGATCTGAGGAAGGGATGGGCTTCCCCATCTTGGTGTGAAGCTTTAATACCTGGGGAGCATAACATACTGGAGATAATTGACTGGACTGACTACCATGAAAAAAGAGACAATTGCCTTGCCTTGAGCAAATGTCACTTGTATTTTTAAGTTTTCACTTATCCCTTTTAAACTCTATTGGTAGCTAAGCTCCAACACAATAGAGATTGGGGAATTGTAGCATTACTGCACAAGTCATAGTAAGAGACAAATTATAAAAGTGAGTTTAACAATGGTTGCTACTGGCAGATGCTTTAAGACTTCCAACTCACATGAACTCAACTTTACTTTTTGTGCATCCATGCAGAACAATACAGCACTCCTCTATCAATACTCATGACAACAGACCTGAGGTGGTTTTTCATAATCTCACCTTCTGGTGCTTGGATCCATTGATGTGAGCCTTGTAGGCATCCTGGCCGGTGCAGGAGACGTCACACAGCTCACAGCGGAGGGCGATGCCTGGCCGGCCAGGGGCCTCCTTCTGGCTCTGCTCTTTCTTCTTGTGCTTCTGTCCTTCCAGATGCTCTTTGTAGGTCTGAGGATTTTAAGAAGAAAACAAAATGAAAACACTGTTAAGAGCAATACAATATCATGGTGGTAACGAGAACAAATTTAGGTCCCAAGTCTTTGTGTTTCTTTGTCTTCAAGTACAAGGTTACAAAGTAACTGTAATAGCAAGGTAATTCGTCAAGTGTTCCACTCTTTATGCGCAGTGAATGAATTTAAATGTAACAACTGTTGGGTGTTTGTGTCCAGTTGCGCATCGTTGTGCACCCATGGGACGATTTCACCGTCAATTCCAAGGAGTGCATGCACTGCAGTTCAATACTGCTTACATTTTTCAAGATCGCCATGCTCCAGGAATCTACATCTTGATCTGGGACAGGCAATTGTCCCAGTGTAAGGAGCACAAGACGTTTTCACATGTGTGTTTTTTTCCCGAAAATGGGAGCATTCCAATTTTAGACCCTTGAGAACTAAAATATCAGAGTGGTTCTGGAGAATTGCTTTAAAAGCACACTCGGGGAGGGGGGGGGGGGAGGAACACCCACCTGCGGTCCAGCACAGCTGATCTTGCAGACTTCGCAGTAGTGGATCTGCGGCTGCTTGGGGGGCATGCGATCTTTCTTCTGCACAAACTTGTTCTGGGTGTAATTGGCCTTGTTGTTGCCCCCCTTGAAGCCCCAGCCCGAGCCTCCCATCTTGCCCTGCTGCTGCTGCTGGTAGTAGGAGGTCGCTGCCGAGTACACCAGCGAGTCATAGCTGGAGTACGAATTGGCTGCAGCGGCGGCGGCTGTAGTTTAAAACAAGGAAAGAGCCTCATCAGTTTAAATTTGCGCCGCCATCTCCGGGGATTCAATTAGGCATTTTTTAATACTATTGTCCTATTTGCAAGAATTTTTTTCCGCAGCTTTCACAATATGCCAGAAACCATCCACTTTCAAGAGAAGATGAAAAAGGAATCAGCTGGCAAATAATCCATTTCTCTATTTCAACTAACTCAATTTGGCATCTCACTCTAGCATCAATCAAATTGCTACATTTATCTTTTATGATTCTTATTCTGCCACACATGCATGCAAGGAGACAAAAACAAGTAGGAGGTGGAAGCAAACAGCTCTACATGTAGGTACACAGGCATGCATTTGAAATCAAATATATACGGGTTGCTGAGGAAAATGAATGGGTTCAATGCACAATTTGAACTTATTCACCTTTTCCCACTTCAGCTTTCAACATTTTGTACTGAATAATATTCAGAGGTGGGGATCTAGACACTATCAGGAATCTAAGTGTCAAGTCTGTTCTGTGGTCAGTGGACACAAAAAAGCACTTCAGAGTACAAACCAGTACCACCAACTTGCCTTTACGTTTACGGTCCAATTACAGAGAGATACGATCTGTTTCTAGAGAGTGCCAAAATACAACTGGATGTGATGTGAAATTCAGCACAACGCAATATGTCTCTGATGCAAACACTGCCATTTCACAAGTCAGTTAACCACTTGCTGCCGGGGAACCCCTTTTCGAGCACTATGGGTTTATATGCAGAGCCGCGGTGCCCAAAATGGGACAAAAGAGATGGTCTGTGTAACAAATGACCATACTCGGGACAAAAGACCTGCTGCTGAGAATCGCCATCATTTTCGGCTTGCATTTTTTGAAGGTAATCGGTCACTGTTTTTAAACAGTAAACCACTGTTTTGGGCATAGCACGCCCGCGGATTAGCACCGCGGACAAAAGTGCTCAGTTTGACCCCGGTCCCAAAATAAAAGTATGACCACAACATGGGTGTAGTATGATTATAATGCAAAGCATGGGGGAAAGAACCTGGAGTATATAGCAAAATTGAGTTTCCTGTCCTTCGAAAAGTTGATTGAAAAATCAAAACTGAACAGTAAATGCTAAAAATCAAAGACAAGAAAATGTGGGCCATATAAGAGCAAGCTGTGCTCAACTACAGCAGAGCAAATTTTGACATGAAAAAAACATGGCAAAGTGACGAGACGGAAAGCAATTCTGCAGTAACTGGAACACAAATGTCAACAATTCTACAAGTAAAAATCACCTAGCAATGAAACAGACCCCACAGAAGAATAATGGTCAAAATAAGAATACAGATATTGACCCTCAAAAAGAGGGGTTTTTTAATTTGGCCCTGTTAAAAATGGACCACAGCAACACAATGCGGGGCTTTTAAAAAAATTAATTTATTCTAATCCTCAAGAGGGGAAAATTATGAAATTGGCAAATATATAACATAACTGCAATCAGGCAAAAATATTTGAAAATGCTTCACACAATGAAAATGCTCAAGTAGATTTGGAGAAGTCTGGTTTTTACATGAACACTTCACATATCAACATTCACAGCCCAGAGGGCGTGTTTGTATGGGCACTAGGCACACAGTAAAATTGTGTTGAAGTGTTTGCCAAGCTTTACTCTGTTACCAGTGAAAGAACACTTTGTACTGTCCACATATTAGGAAGCTTTTATCAAAACCTCATCTCTATCAGTCAACTTTTGGTGATAACGTTGACGAAAAGAAAGACAAATTCACAGAATATCTCGGACTTGGCTTTCGGGTCGTATCATAAAAACTGCTGATTTATCCCTGGGCCCCTTTTTGCTGGGGAACTTCCTCAATCCTCCTAAATCCTCCAAACTGCTCCAAGGATTTTGGAGGATTGAGGAGGGTTAGGGTTATGCCATGTGAAGGACATTTACAAATCACAAGCCATGTCAACAGCAGTTGAGTTGACTGCAGCACAAAACACCCACACCAATGTTGCAGCTGAGACCATCACAAGAACTGAAATAATACCAGTTACAAGACCCATCACAAGTAACCAAGTAAACAATGATGGCGGAATGATGGTGTTGAACTAGACTTGAAGAGCTTGTGACCTGAATACAGACTTGAGGTCTTGGGTCAGTCTTGTGATGGTCCTGTCACTAAGTCTCCATAAAAACCAATAACTTGCATGCATTCAGCCTCCCCCCCCCTTATTTTTCCCAGGAACCTTCCTCCCAAATCCATCACTGTGAGGATCCAAATGGTGCAGTCTTTGTACACAAAACCTTGCAAAAGGATATTAAGTCTCATTCGAGGAAACAGAAGATTGACTGAAACCTTGGTCATGAATGTAAAATCTTCAAAAACTTTCTGGTGGATTTTGAAGGATCTAGAAAGGTTTATAGGGTTCAAGAAGATACGACTGAGGGCCTGGCAAACACTTCTGTTCTGAATTTGAGGGCTTTCTGAATAAAAACGAAATTTTTGTTAAATTGTCAAGTTAATGAAGCTAGACACAAACTTTCTTTTCTGGGATCATTTACTTCAATAACTAACATGATAGTGACACTTGTATGGACAAAAAATGACAGAAGAGTGTCATAACAATTCACTTTCATATGTAACACAAGATTTAGTTGGGGATAGCATTGTTGAAAGCTTTTCATACAATTGAGAAGGGATCAACTGATGTAGGTTTTAACTGCCGATATGGTGTCCAATGTTTTAATCAGAACATCGGCCAATGTCCGATCTGATCCGATGTTTCTACCGACAATGGCTGAAACTGCAACCTTAGCACGATGCAGGCCTACTCCTAACAACACAAAACCAGTGTACTCCCTTAAAATGTCAGTTTACACATTAATGGTAATAGGATTAGATTTTGCCTTCACTGTCACTATAGAAAGAATAAATCATGTAAATTGTGTACGTGTACATTGACCGCCGCTCGCACGATGCCCATCACACAAACCCACATGGTGCAGACCAGTATATGCAGAACAGACACACAGCACCTTGGGCTGAATCACGATAGCCTTTGGTCAAGGCGTGCATGGCACCACTGCGTTGGCGTCTTCGTCGTGCATACTCACGGCAGAGGTGCACGTTGTGTATTCAGGTAGCCACGTGTGCCTTGAGTAAAGGCTAAACCACAGGCTACCTTCAGACCGCTCACACAGCACCACACATGCTGTACTTCCCTGGCTCTTTTAATGGAAATGGAAACGCAGTCCATGCATTGAGTTGTTGTGGCATGGATCGCACAGGTGAAATTTTTGGGAGTACACGTAATTTACTTGGGTTTAACCAAGGTATAACTGTTAATTAATCACACCAAATGAAAAACCAAGTTTGTATTCATGCTCAAATAAAAAATATGAGATTTTTGTTTGCCAAAACCGAGTACAGAGTTTGCTTCTTTCTTCAATTTAACATCGGCACTCACATTGGCAAGGAAGGTCAAATTATGCTGATCCTATGTTTTCCTAATGTTGCTGAATATTGGCCTGATCCGATGTCCAATCCGATCATCGGTTGATCCCTAACTTTGAGTCAGTTCATTCACGTATAGGCACATGCAGCTACATACACATAAATGGTAAAAACTTCGGAACTCATCTCAACAAAGAATGAAATTAATAAAAAAGGAACACAGGCTTATGAATGCCTTGCTGAAAATCATCCTGTTCCCTTAGAGCTTAGAAGTATTGTGGGTGCATGAGGAGGAAGCCAACTGGCAGGAAAACATGGAATATCACATGAAGTGTAAAGCTTTGTTAAAAAAAACATTTGCGCAGATTGCTTTTCGCGAGGACTGCCAAAGCGACTTGTAAGCCACTCTACAGTAACAATTACATGCAAGGCATAACAAACCAATTAACAGTGCCGCCTACTGGCAGTTTTGGTTTTACCTGACTCCTTGGCTGCATGTAGCAAATTGAGATGGTGGCGAATATGTGAGTTGAGGGCGGTGACAAGTAAATAGAGAAAAGAAAACACATTGTAGGCTTGGTTCACAAAAGACAAATGACAAAACCTTGGGAGTAATTAAGACTGTCCATCCACCTGCAAAAGGTGTCATTTTACAAGGAGTTTAACCCAAAAGCTTTATTTCCAACAGAAAATCTTGACCACCACCCCTTTTCATGAGTAAGCAGGAAATAAGATAGTTTAACCTGTCACCTGCCACTGTGAACATAGATTACTAGATCTTGTTAACTCTCTGTTAAATTGTCACAAAAATTGTAAGTTTGCATATACTGATCTGGAGAAAATTCAGGAAAGCACCTGTGACAGTGCATCTTGTTCTTTACCTGTTGTGTCATAAAAGACACTGCTTTGTAATCTATAGGCACAGTAAGTTTCTTTCTACGTCACAAAACTGAAACAAAACTTCTTTGGATGAGTAATGGCCAACATTTTGATAAAATAAAGTTTCTTGGAATTCTGATTGATATGTCCCTTCTCGAAGCTGTCAGTGGACTTTTGGAGGAGACAATACCCAAAATTGGCATTTCTTGCAATGCCAACGCTAAGGTACTATTCCTTAGAGTATGCTATTTGGAGCAGACGCAGCCAAACTTTAAGACCTGTCTTGCTTCATCTTGCCTCATTCTAACCAGAACTCTGCTTTCAAGTTCGGACATCTTCAGAACCACAGGCTTTCCAGTTAGCACGACTGATAAGATCAAACTCGGTCTGTGAAATGTGAACCGTTATACTCACCCGAGTAGGTGGTCGTGGCTGGTGTGTTGGCATATGTTGGGGTCGTGGTCTGTGGGGCATATGCGTAGGTCACAACTGTCTTGGTCTGCGTTGGTTTCTGGACAGCAGCTTGATGGTGGCTGGTGTACGCAGATGCTGAGCCAGTGTTGGAGTATGCTGTCTGCTTAGTTGCAGCTAGCGAATGGACATTAAAAAACTACATGTTAATTCTTAACAAATGCTTTACACTGTAGAAAGTTGTATTGTACCTCATTTTTTACACACTCCTAAGAGATTCACACATCCCTTTTGTCTTTCTGGAATGGCAACAGATATGAAATTGTTAACCCTAACTCCCAAAGCTTCTGCACTAGAAAGCATACTCAACCTCCAAAAATCCAACAGGTGCATGTATTTGTCTATGTACTTGTACATGCAGGTCACTACATACCAAACCTGATAAACTCCAACAGAATGAGCCTGTTGGAGTTTGAGTGATATGGTATGGATGGGTCTATGCAGTATAGGATGACTTGCACTGAACAGTACCAAACCTGACAAAATCAAGCACAGTCCAACGACTGGTACAGCAAGCCAGGCACTGCACACAGTGACCCCTGTGCGTCCCCAACTCACACAAAATCCAACACCATCTCCCTGGACCTTTGATACCAAGTCTGAAAAAACATGGTGAAAAACAGTTCAAACCCCGTGAACAAAAGCCCAAACTTACAGACACCAAATGCACGGCAAGAGCAACTTACCTGTTTTGCCATACTTGTTAGCCTGTTGGTAGTAGGAATCAGTGGCCGTTTGCTGAGCCTGGGGCTGCTGGTAGTACGACTGCTTCTCGTACGACGTGGCAGCCGGGGTGGTCTGCACGTAGTTGTACGACTCACGGTACGTCTGGGATGTTGCAGGCGAGGGCGTTTGGGCATCCTGACGCTGTTGAGTGCTAGTACAATGAAAGACACAGATAAGAATTAGTATAGAGTGTGGATAGGAAGCTCCATAAACACGCAAGTAGCACACTCCACACTTCTCTGTTTGGAATTTCTGCCGACAATCTTCTGCTAATGCCCTCCATCCTGAAGGGTGTTGGGATCTAAATCAGAAGCGACACTGGGGAATGAAGAGAAATCCACGAAAAATAAAACAGAGGGGTTTGAAGAATGACCTGACGACAATTAAATGCTGTGGTCTTTCAAGGATTTTAACCCTAACTGCCCAAAACCTGCCATACTCCAACAGCAGGTTTTGGCAGGTTTGGTACCGCACCTTAGGAACCTGCCGTTGAATTTTGTGAGGCTTGGG